AGCAGCAGCAGCAGCAGCAGCAGCAGCAGCAGCAGCAGCAGCAGCAAGCAGCAGCAGAGCAGCAGCAGCAGCAGCAGCAGCAGCAGCAGCGCAGCAGCAGCAGCAGCAGCAGCGCAGCAGCACGCAGCATGCAGCAGCAGCAGCAGCAGCAGCAGCAGCAGCAGCAGCAGCCAGCAGCAGCAGCAGCAGCAGCAGCCAGCAGCAGCAGCAGCAGCAGCAGCAGCAGCAGCAGCAGCAGCAGCAGCAGCAAGCAGCAGCAGCAGCAGCACAGCAGCAGCAGCAGCAGCAGCAGCAGCAGCAGCAGCAAGCAGCAGCAGCAGCAGCAGCAGCAGCAGCAGCAAGCAGCAGCAGCAGCAGCAGCAGCAGCAAGCAGCACGCAGCAGCAGCAGCAGCAGCAGCAGCAGCAGCAGCAGCAGCAGCAGCAGCAGCAGCAGCAGCAGCAGCAGCAGCAGCAGCAGCAGCAGCAGCAGCAGCAGCAGCAGCAGCAGCAGCAGCAGCAGCAGCAGCAGCAGCAGCAGCAGCAGCAGCAGCAGCAGCAGCAGCAGCAGCAGCAGCAGCAGCAGCAGCAGCAGCAGCAGCAAGCAGCAGCAGCAGCAGCAGCAGCAGCAGCAGCAGCAGCAGCAGCAGCAGCAGCAGCAGCAGCAGCCAGCAGCAGCAGCCAGCAGCAGCAGCAGCAGCAGCAGCAGCAGCAGCAGCAGCAGCAGCCAGCAGCAGCAGCAGCAGCAGCAGCAGCAGCAGCAGCCAGCAGCAGCAGCAGCAGCAGCAGCAGCAGCAGCAGCAGCAGCAGCAGCCAGCAGCAGCAGCAGCAGCAGCAGCAGCAGCAGCAGCAGCAGCAGCAGCAGCAGCAGCAGCAGCAGCAGCAGCAGCAGCAGCAGGCAGCAGCAGCAGCAGCAGCAGCAGCAGCAGCAGCAGCAGCAGCAGCAGCAGCAGCAGCAGCAGCAGCAGCAGCAGCAGCAGCAGCAGCAGCAGCAGCAGCAGCAGCAGCAGCCAGCAGCAGCAGCAGCAGCAGCAGCAGCAGCAGCAGCAGCAGCAGCCAGCAGCAGCAGCAGCAGCAGCAGCAGCAGCAGCAGCAGCAGCAGCAGCAGCAGCAGCAGCAGCAGCAGCAGCCAGCAGCAGCAGCAGCAGCAGCAGCAGCAGCAGCAGCAGCAGCAGCAGCAGCAGCAGCCAGCAGCAGCAGCAGCAGCAGCAGCAGCAGCAGCAGCCAGCAGCAGCAGCAGCAGCAGCAGCAGCAGCAGCCAGCAGCAGCAGCAGCAGCAGCAGCAGCAGCAGCAGCAGCAGCAGCAGCAGCAGCAGCAGCAGCAGCAGCAGCAGCAGCAGCAGCAGCAGCAGCAGCAGCAGCAGCAGCAGCAGCAGCAGCAGCAGCAGCAGCAGCAGCAGCAGCAGCAGCCAGCAGCAGCAGCAGCAGCAGCAGCAGCAGCAGCAGCAGCAGCAGCAGCAGCAGCAGCAAGCAGCAGCAGCAGCAAGCAGCAGCAGCAGCAGCAGCAGCAGCAGCAGCAGCAGCAGCAGCAGCCAGCAGCAGCAGCCAGCAGCAGCAGCAGCAGCAGCAGCAGCAGCAGCAGCAGCAGCAGCAAGCAGCAGCAGCAGCAGCAGCAGCAGCAGCCAGCAGCAGCAGCAGCAGCAGCAGCCAGCAGCAGCAGCCAGCAGCAGCAGCAGCCAGCAGCCAGCAGCAGCAGCAGCAGCAGCAGCAGCAGCAGCCAGCAGCAGCAGCAGCAGCAGCAGCAGCAGCAGCAGCAGCCAGCAGCAGCAGCAGCAGCAGCAGCCAGCAGCAGCAGCAGCAGCAGCAGCAGCCAGCAGCAGCAGCAGCAGCAGCAGCAGCAGCAGCAGCAGCAGCAGCCAGCAGCAGCAGCAGCAGCAGGAGCAAAATGGTACATGATTTTTTGTATTAAATTATATATATATATATATATATATATATATATATATTATAATTTGTTTTATTTTTCAGAAAATAAAATTAAAAAAAGAGGAGGCGGCAAGGCTCGTGCCCGCTGGTATACCCAGCGCGGCAGGGGCATGTCTGGCGGTCGAGGAGGCGACCGAGGTCAAGGAGGCTGGGCCCGAAGAGGCGCCGGGGTCCGAGGAGATGGCTGGGCCCGAGGAAGCCGAGGAGGCGGCTGGGCCCGAGGAGGCCGAGGAGGCGGTTGGGCCCGAGGAGGCCGAGGAGGCGGTTGGGCCCGAGGAGGCCGAGGAGGCGGTTGGGCTCGAGGAGGCCGAGGAGGCGGAACCGTTATTAAAAATTATTATTATTATTGATATATACAAACATAAAAAATAATTAATAAAAAATAATTAATAATTTATAGAATATTTATTTATTCAATATTTTATTCCTTTTATCCCTTATTCCTAGATATTTTTTTCCCCATCCTCTATATATAAATACAATGTGGTATAATAGGGCTCTAGGGAAGATCCACATAAAAAAATCTAACGCGCCATTGGTGATACCCCGTGGGTGGTGTGGAAAATCGCCACACTCATTAAATTTCTTTATTTTATT